GCTCTCACAGAATACCAGCGTAAAATAGCATCTCAATGTTGCTGTGTTTCGCATGGTGTGTGTAGACATGTCTGTGTCCCATAGACATCTACATTTATCTTCGATTAAAAATCAAAATGCAGATGCGTTGTCACCTCTGAGGACTAATATGAAATGTCTCGTTTCCAGTAAAAAGGGTCTCCAGATCTCTGCACTCACCATACGAAACATAGGTATTAAGCTGCCATTTTACGCTGGTATTCTGTGAGAGCGTGGTCCTCCGCCGAACGAGCCGTAGTTGCTTTATAGGTAAATCTAGATGTCTATGAACCACAGCATCCACTTACCATCAGGTAGACTTTGTGCTCGTTTGTAACTCTTATTCTATACTAGTGGATACCCGGGTTGTGCTACTACGCTAAAAAAGAAATACATTTTGTTCTGCTTATATCATCATTCATCATTACAGCCCTTCACAAGTCCACTGCTGAACATAGGCCTCTGTTTATATATTAACCTTTTATATAGTGTCTTACGCATTGTTTTAGTTGTCTAAAACCATCTTCGCATGCCTTTGTAATGAAACCGGTTTGGGGCACATCGGTTTGATGTTTTCAAAGTCTATGTAGACGGACGGACATATGTAGAATTTTTTTTTGTTTTGTATATATAGATAGATAAAAAAGATCAAAGGCTATCTATACCGATTAATTGATATTTTGATAAAACTGGCGCCATTCTGAACGGCAGACTTGTGTGGAGTGTAGAGAAAGTTCTAATATCGCATCGATCGCTGTACACCCTAGATTTCCCCTGCGGCAGGCAAGTGAGCAGCCGCCTAAGAACATAAAATAACCAATATTAGGAAGTTTAGAACTTAACGCGTAAACCACCATACTACGTTCTCTGAACCCTATCTATATAAAATAAAGTCAAGCCCAAGAATTACTGACGAAATTGCAAATATTATAATTAAGGAATGTATTATTTAAAGATTTATAGATTAAGAATTTAGACTCATAAATCACATACATTGTTAATCTTTATGCGCTATGATCTTCCGCTCTAAGTATCAGTAATAAGAGCTTAACCCGCTTGTGCCTTCTCTGACTTGCTCTGATCTTTAAAACAACTTTTATTGAATAAGGAAACTTGTTGACAATAAAACACACTTTAAGAAATACGTAAAATATTTAATGTAGTGTAACAATTTGTTTTAATTTTTTTAAACACAATATTATTATTGTCTACAATTTTTATTAATAACATCAGAGTCTCTTAACGAATACAATGTGGTTAAGGTTAAAGTTACAGCCTATATAAGTCCCACTCCTGAGCACGGGCCTCCGCTCATTTCTGAGAGTTTTAGGGCAAGGAATTGTCCGCCGAGCCGTTCCAATGCGTGTTGGCGATCTTCCCATGTCTTCGAAATATTTTTTTTCTTATCCCTCAGACATGCAGGCTTACTCACGATGTTTTCCTACACCGCCGAGTACGTGGTAAATCAGTACTTAAAATTGTAATTAACAATTTCGTTGGTGCCGGCGGGGATCGAACCCGGTTTGCTCGCATACTGTGAAGTTTACAGCGAGCGCTAACCATCTGAGCTACCACGGCTTCTGTAGTGTTTTCAATTCAGCACTTGAGGGGGTGTTCGACAACTCGATTCAGTCCTACACTTAATTTTCCTGTTGGGGACTTTTTTGGTTTTGTTCATTATTTTTTTGTTTCGCAATAGAGTTTTGTAGGCAAAAATAAAGATTATTATTATTAACATATAAAGTTAAAAAATTAAAATATTATAAATATAAATACAATTTATAAAAATAATAATACTATTTCGGATATTACCTACCGCGGCGAGGAATTCTAAGCCATCGGTGAAGATAGACATCCAAAGATAGGAACCTTCTTACTATCCGCGTTGTATTTAATAAGGCTGGATTTTGAATTCACCCTTTCAGCCATTTCACGAAGCCTAACTTAGACAGATAATCATCTTATAATTACCGATAAGCCCATTGACTAATACAACTATTGGTACAATAATAATAGAATCAACGTTTCACATAGCGACAATCTTGATTTAGCAAGCATCGTGACTCCAGTATATAACGTGACTTATATTGCAAGAAACATGGTAACTGGCTTTGCTACGCCAGGATTTTACTACTCCATTTTCAAGGAATGCTTTTTCTGAAGATGACTTTGAGTGCGCAGAAGTGAAGGCCGCCACAAACACCCTAGTCTTCTGAGCCTATCTGGAAGAATACCCAACATGAAGATGATGACAAAACCGACTGCGAAAGTTCAGACAACGAACAAGTATTGAACGATGACTTAACTTCTGCATCAGGATGCCCCTCGATGACTATCACAAATTGATTTTCGGAAACGACGAAAATCTTTAACTGTGCCAGCCTTCAGTGTCTGTCATGTTCACTTAACACAATGCTACCATGATGATCAATCGTAACAGATGTAAATGTGACTTCTTGAGCATCTTCAGATTCTTTACCTGGCAATACAACTGTATCAAAATCTCCTCTTGTTCTTGCTGATTGTGTGTCTTCACTATCATGTTCTGATATTCCTGCTTCCTTAACTTCATCAATCAAAAAAACGAATAAATTTAAAAATATAATAACACCAGAACAAGTTAAGACTTTAAGTTTCCTAAAAGCACTGCCTCGAAAAGCATCAACCAAAGGCAGAAAGAAAGGAAAGTTCCGTATTTTAACTGATACCCCTGAAAAAGATGAGTTACAAAAAGCTTACTTCGAACGGCCAGGCAGGGCTAGAAAAATCACAGGCTCAAAAGAAAAAAAGGGATTCTAGACTTAGTTGTTTGGACAAAATCCTTTTTTACATTGAGAATTTACTTGTGTGTATACTTGACTGCAACGTCATAAATGTTGGAGACTTCGTTTTAGCGCAATTTTCATGTGTGAATAATAAAATATCATTGGTATTCGTAGGAAAAGTTATGGTAAAGCATGAGCATGCTTTGACTGTTATATTCCTTAAACGGAAAATTAACTTATGTAAATTTTTCTTTCCTGTGAAGGAGGACAAGTGCTACATGAGTTTTTCAGATGTGTTACTTAGACTGCCTCCTCCAATTCCAGTTGCTGATACATCACGTACTGCGTCCATGTTTTGTTTTATATTTAATTTCTCTAAGTTTAAATTAGGCTAATAACGACTCGGTCTTATAAAATACTCTGAATATAAAATAGCACCAGAAGACAAAATAATAGGTTTCATTTCTACGTGATTTGACCGAACCTAACCCTCAATTTCAAAGCCATATATGATGTATAGAGGGTGTCATGGGCAACGGTTGGACTGTCAATTAGGAAGTATCGCCACTTAAGATCGCAGAAGTGATAGCAACCAAAAATCGCCCATAGAGCAGCCAATCTGTAACCCATCCCCCCCCCCCCCTTTACTCCTCTGTCTAACAACACTTCAAGAGAATAGAGATGTAATTGACCCACAGGGGTCCCTGAAGTAAGTAAGTCGCAGCGAAAAGTGTACCATACGACAGCCCAACCGTTGCGCACGATTTCACTTCTATCCAATCCAATCACCAGATAATGGGATTATCAGGGTTACTGTAAATTTTAAAAAAAATCCTTAAAGCTTGGTGTTATACAACTCTACACCCATTTGGTTTAAATACCATGATACTGATCTTTAGTCATGACCCTTTGTTGATATATTAAACCCAGGAAAAAATTGCATTCAAGTACAAATGATGAAAGTCATCGAAAAAGTCAGGCAAGGGCAAAAAGTTTCAGAAGCTGCGACAAAATATAGTGTTCCTAGAATAACACTATATAATAAAATCACTGTAATAAATCCAGTAGAGTAGTCCAGTAGTTCAATATGTACCCAGATACTATTCTCACAAAGGAAATCGAAATGATATTGGTTAAATGAATTTTATACGTGGCCGATAATTATTTACCTATTGCAAAAGATAAGCTGCTAGATAGCGTACAAAAATCATTATCGAGAAAAACCAGGGTCCTTCGTGTCCTTTTACTAACAAACGAAAAATTACACTCAAGAACAAATGGTCAAAGTCATCGAAAAAGTCAGGCAAGGGAAAATGTTCCTAGAATATATAATAAAATCACTGAAATAAATCCAGTAGAGTGCAATATGGACCCAGATACTATTCTCAGAAAGGAAATCGAAATGATATCGGTTAAATGGATTTTATACATGGCCTATAATCATTTTCCTATTGCAAAAGACCAGCTGCATCGACGTGTCTCGAATCATCGACAACCGAGTGCTTTCCGATCGGCTTGATTCACTGGCGCTGAGAAGAGATGTTGCATCACTTTGCGCATTTTATCGCATCTATCACGGGGTGCTTTGAGGAATTGTTTTGATTAATCCCAGCCGCCAAATTTCATGAACGCACTACGCGGCAAACCTCCCGATACCATCCACACCATCTGGATGCTTGGCGGTCCACCACTGTATGTTTCACTAGTTTTCTTCCGCGTACGACCTCTCTGTGGAATAATTTACTACCGGCGATTTTTCCGGACCGATACGACCTCGGGACCTTCAAGAAAAGAGCTTACTCCTTTCTAAAGGGCCGACAACGTACCTGCAATTCCCCTGGTGTTGCGGTTGTTCATGGGCTGCGATAGTCCCTTAACATTAGGTGAACCGTATGCTCGTTTGCCCCCTCAATTATAAAAAAAAAATAACGTCAATAAACTGATTCATCAAGATATGCATCTAGATGTAAACAGTTGCTCTTTTGTTTTTTATTTATTTAAAAAATACTTGGGCATCTATCCCTCCATATACCATGTATACCCATTGTTGTTTTTAGGGTATATTTTGAACATATTTTTGTGTTCTGTTATATATTTGTAATTGTACTTTTTAGTGATTGTAGCAGAACCATGCCACGAAAATACGAAAGAAAGGAAGGAGTTCGAGCTCGAGTATGTTCTTGGGCTACATGACAATTGCAGTCAGCTTTCGACGAAATGGATAGAAATACCATGGGGATAAAAGAAATATCGCGACAGTTTGCGATTCCATCAAGAATACTGCGAAGACGTTATGCTGCTAAAAATACAACGAAGCAGAGACTGGGTATGTATTAAAGGTCATATTATACAGGATTTTAAAAACTTTTATTGAACTAATTGCTGTAAGTTTCCAATACCTAGATTTTATTATTTTATTGACGTAGTTTTTTTGTAGGAAAACATCCTATCTTGGACTTTGACAACGAAAAAAGGCTAGTAACGCACATTTTAAAGCTTGGAGATGCAGGATTTTCCCCAAATATGTAGACAATCCATACGTATATTAGCTTGCCAAGCATAATTTTGACCACGAAAACGAAATGGAGCTGCAAAGTTCAAAAGTTTTATTGAACGAAATCCAGAGCTTTCTATTAGACATGCTGAAGGTTTCTCTGTGGCTAGAGCCAAGGGCCTTAGTAGAGAAGAAGTAAATAACTTCTCTCTTGTTTTGATCAAAGTCTTGACCGAAAATGATCTGTTGGACAAACCGGAAGATTATACAATATGGATGAATCCGGAATCCAATTGAATAATAAACCTGGAAAAGTCATAGAAAAAAAGGTGCCAAAGTCGTCAATTCAGTCACATCTGCCGAGAAAGGTGAAACAATGACAATTGTTGGGTGTTGCAATGCAAATGGTAATTTTCTTCCACCAGTTTTTATAATAAAAGGTGTGAATAAGAAACCTGAATCTCAAGATGGACTTCCAATGGGCTCAAAAGTACATAAGAGTAAAAAATATATAAATGCTTCGCCTTTCGATAAATGGCTAACAGTACATTTCATCCCTCTGAAAACCCATGGTAAAGTTCTGCTTATTTTAGACGGTCACTCATCATACTCAAGTGCACCAAATATGCTGCAAGCTGCTGCAGATAACAACATAATTTTATTGTGTTTACCTAGTCACACTACTTCAGCTTTACAACATTTAGACAGATCAGTAGTTGGGCCATTTTAAACCTACTTCAACCAAGAAACTAATCAATGAATGAATGGAAAAGGAATGGATTAAGGCGCATAAGCCTTAATCCAAATAAAAAGATCAGCCTTTACAACGCAGGAAAGCTTATACGCAATGCTTGGATTCGCGCTGCTACTCCTGCAAATTCTCTTGCGGGCGTTTTAGAGGTAGCGGTATATAGGGTATATATAGGTATATATAGTAGATAAAGAGTATCCAGTTGACCGAAATGCTTTGCCAGATACTACATTCCTGATATCAGATACTGCGCTGGATAGCGAAAATCCTGGCACTTCTCGTGCACCTCATCAAGATGACCGAACGTCTACAACCCAGGCTAAACGTCTTATTCGTTAGATTGCCAACCAAAGCTTGTCAATGTCTCAGAAAGTATTGTATCTCGTGAACCTATTGAACAAAGAACAGAAACCTCTCTACCTCAGACTGACTTCTGTAGTTTGTCAAATAGAGCTGGACAATCAAAAAGAAAATATTTCTGAATATGAACAAAATAAGACACCACCAAATCTGATGCAGATTGAAATTGACAGAGAAACTCCTAGTATCTTTATAGATTCCGAGATTTTAGATATTAGTATTGTTGAGGTTGATGATTCTACAATTGCAGAGATTTTAGGCAGCAATATAGAATCAGAAACACCTTCGAAAATTCTTATAGAAGCATCACCTATACCAAAAATTCCTTTGGCCATGTCTAAGAGGGCGAAACAGTCAGCAGATACTTTGAATTCAAAAGCGAATATAGAACAAATAAGATATGGCTAAAAAAAAGGAAAAACAAATAAAAACTAAATTAGACAGGAAAAACAAGACTGAAACTACCAAAGAACAAAGAGAACTTAAGAAAACAAAGAAAGTAACCAGCAACAAAGAACGAAAACAAAGAAAAAAAAGTTTTAGTGACAACGATTATGATGACCTAGCTGATTTATGTGATAAACAAAATGATAATTATTTAAAAGTTAATCAGGACCGCAAAAAAACTAAAACGGCGAATTATTTACAGTTCAAACATTGAAGATGAAGACAATTCACCTCACTGTAAAACTAAGGGAAAGAAAACTAAAGGTTTGCTGGTAAAAAGTACTAAGAGAGATGGACAGGATAAGCCTAAAGATACAAATAAAATCGAAGTCTAAATCCGACTGGATTCAATGTGTAAAGTGTCAGAACTGGCTACATGAAACCTGTACACTTGTCAAAAATTATTGCTCAAGATGTGGAAAACTGAAAGCACTATCCGACTAAGCATCATTTAAGTAGGATTACAAAAGTAAGATCTTTATTGTACTATTTTAATTTTTTAAAAAATGATGACTTAAGATTATGCATGTGTTGACATTTTGTATATTTTCCGTTAACATCCGGTTGCTAAATACTCTGTTTTGTTATTGGGTGCGTTTGGCAGAAAAAAGCGCTAGCAAGCGCTTGTAAGCAAAATGGCGATCGTAAGCGGTAAGCGCTGTCAAATCGTAAGTAGCTATTTTCCTCCAGGACACGATGTTAGTTTTAACCGGGGAACCTAACCTAATTTAAATATATGTTTGTAAAGTATTCATATTAAAAACTTACCAATCATGAATTTTTAATAACATGTATTTGTTTATTAACGTTATTATATTACTTAAAACTAATATTGCACAAAACAACTTATAAACTCTACTTCAAAACAAACAAATTAAATAAGCAAAATGGCGGATTGTGTCAGCGCTATTGAAGTAGTAATCGTGTCCTGGCCGAAAACTATTTCAGCGCTTGTAAGCGCTTGCTAGCGCTTTTTTCTGCCAATATTAGTTTTAAGTAATATAATGACATGAATAAACATATACATGCTATTAAAAACTCATGATTGGTAAGTTTTTAATATGAATACTTTACAAACATATATTTAAATTAGGTTAGATTCCCCGGTTAAAACTAACATCGCGTCCTGGAGGAAAATAGCTACTTACGATTTGACAGCGCTTACCGCTTACGATCGCCATTTTGCTTACAAGCGCTTGCTAGCGCTTTTTTCTGCCAAACGCACCCATTGACTATGGATTTAACTTTTGCGGAAGTCAAATCCAAACCTTATTTTATTCTCGCTATTGTTGACATTTTGTATATTTTCCGATAACATCCGGTTGGTAAATACTCTGTTTTGTTATTGACTATGGATTTGACTTTTGCGGAAGTCAAATCCAAACCCTATTTTATTCTTGCTATAAATGCTGTAAGGGTAGACAGTGAAGAGGTCATTCGTAGAACAGTCGTAACGCATAGACGTGTATTGTGGAATCTATGTAAATGATACTAGATTAGTGAAGTGTTCATTACGGTTGTGATAAAGTATTTCGGTGTGTAATAATAAGTGGAATCATGTATTGTAAAAACTAATGCCACATGAAATATACGGTTGTTTAAAAACAAGCATTTAATTTGATGTACCGCCGTTCTTGTACAAAAGTTCGTCGATATTAACACATGTTGAAACTTATAGGTAAACTAATAGGTAATTGAGAGTTCGCCTGCGGGGCACAGGGGTGCGGTCTACCTATAATAATTAACATTTAATAAGAAGAATTTATAATTTTATTTTTGTTCGACAAATGTTTTTAGTAAGAATGGTTATTTTATTTGATCGCAAATTACGTAGAATCATACGCTAACGATGACAATTGAAAAAAAACTGCAAAATGCTTTTCATTATCAGGCCCATGTTTCTTGGAAACAATTTCTGTTTTAAGAGTACCTTTCTACTGCTAAAACACCAATTGTCCTCAAAACCTCATAAAAGTTTGGTTGAGTTTTTCGTTTATACAGTATGAAGGGTAATTGATAGAATCAGGCGTTACTTTGCGGAAATCGGTATCGGTATCTATCTCGCACTATCCTTCTTAGTATTTTCATAAGGGTTCCATAAGGGTAAACATATATCCCCAAAAAAGGAGTTCCAAAACAACCAAAAATTTGCCTAATCTGTAATTTGTAGGGCAAAAAATACAAATCACAGTTAAACATAAAGGATTAAACTAGCTAAATTCATAGACACTATTTATATAACATTGTTTCTTTTTAAATTAGGAGGATATTTCAAAAAGTGGGGCATCTATCCCGCCTTCACCCTGTATATAGAACCTACTGACTTCAAAAAAAGGAAGTTCTGTACTCGACCCGTATGTATCAATGTTTGAGATTTTCGTAATTCTAAAAAACCAATGAACCAATTTTGATTATATTTTACAAACTTCAAAATCTTCATAAAATCGATTGAAGTTAGTTATTTTCTTTTTTGGAAATAATATTCATATGATTTAATAATTAGGCACACTAAGTAATTAAACAAAAAATGTTAAAAAAATTTTAAGCGATTAAAACACGTTAGGCCCTATACCTACGAAATTACGATCATCTGACCCGACGTCTATTCATCCTATTTCTGTGCTTATATGGAGCTAATAAGTTCGCAAATCGCATGCGAACGGAAAAAATATTTGAAAATCCTAACGTAAACGTATGTCGAATTATAAATTTATCAATTAATCTATACATACAAATAAATAAAATTGAGGTGCCTGTTTGTATTGTCAAAATAACAGCTTTTTACTAATGCATATTATGAAAGTACTGTTACGCGCTCAAGTCGACGATACACTAGCGCCATCTAGTGTCAGGAACGAGAGCGAGGGGAGCATTGAGAACCCGAAGAACTAAGTTTCTGGAAAATCTACACTCGAATACTCTTTGCCTGGCGCGCATTTACTGGAATGTTCGGGACGCTTCTTTGCTAATTATATAAATAGGCGCTGCAAGATGCGATGGGGACAGAGTTGAACTCGGCGACACAAGCGAAGCTTCGGAGCGGAATTAAGTGAATTAGTGTGTTTAATTATTAGTGTTTTTAGTTTTAATTTGTGTAAAGTAAATTAAAGTGTTAATTTAGGTAATTTTATCGGCAATTTTTATTGTCACGAACCTCAAGCTCGTAATAGTACTTTTAACAAAAAAACTAATTGTTTTTAAAAAAATTCTGTCTGTTTGTTTCGACTACTCTCCTTAATGACTGGGCCGATTTTGACGGGAATTTCACTTACAGATAGCTAATGTTATAAGACATATATAGACTACTTTTATTTTGGAAAAAGGACTATGGAAGAAGTTTCACTTTAATAATAAATCCACGAGTTATTGTTATTATTTATGTATTTATTTTAATCCAATATAAATTTAAACCGCTCCGGATCTAGATTTATGCCTAACTTTGTTAGTCGAGAGACTTGTACGGTGATCGTTTATTATTAACCCTGTTTTACTAAAGATACGTTCGCAAGGAACTGATGACTCCATAATATTTCTATAACTTCGAAGCGGCTTAATTAGGTAAGGTATGTAAAGCAATGCGTTCGCTACCAATTTAATGGGCAGTAAAATTTTCCATTCCTTGAAAATGCCGGTAGTATGTCGTCATTTAAGTAGGTAGCCAGTCTTTTGTAACCTTCGACAATGGAGTACCTACATTATATTGCTGGCCAACTAGTTTGTTGAGAATACTCCAAGGAGAAAATTTGTCAACCTGTATCTCGACTTCAGATGGCACTTTCCGACTATCTTTTTCACAAATTCCAATAAGATTAGTCAAGAGATCTAACACCGATTTGCGGGTTGTTCGTGCGTCATACGTATCTGCGAATATGGCTAATTTATAGCGTGGATCTAAAACAGTATACACAGAAAATATGCCGCTCTTTTCAATGTTCGAAAACTTTGTTATTTACCCGTGCGCAAACTGAAAATGCATGACTGTGAAAGTTCCGAAGTCTTTGGCTAACAATTTGTCACACGCCGTGACTAAACAACGAGTTATAACAATAACTGATCCAGCTGTCATATAATTTTCAGAGCTTATCGATTGAGTTGCCCCATGAAAAGGCTTCAAAATTTTGCACAGCTCACTGAGAAATATCCATTCCTCATTAGAAATAATAGGTACGTTCTTTTTTTAAACCGCTACAGTGGCTTATTGTTCCAATTTCACAAAACGTTGTATCGTATTGAACGTGGAATTCCAGCGTGTGGGGACTTCTTGTACCAAACACTTTATAGCACACAATTTGGCACATTGGCCGAACTTTTTTTTACCTTGTCAAGTGATTATGCGCAGGCCGCTGACCGCATGGCATTTTTAACGATTAAGTTTAACGTACCCGTAGTGCTTCCATTTCAATTTCACAATGTTCAAAATGGCAACAATCAAGCAACACTGTTTTCACCGACACTATTCCGATGATATCCCGGACGTCAGTCTGCTGGAGCGAGATTAGAATGGCTCTCCAGCACCTTAAAAACGGCAGGGCCCCAGGCGAGGATGGAATTACAGCGGAGCTTCTGAAAGCGGGTGGAACACCGGTACTTAAAGTCCTTCAGAAGCTCTACAATTCCGTCCTCCATGGTGGCACTACTCCGCAGGCGTGGAGCAGAAGTGCGGTGGTCTTGTTCTTTAAGAAAGGCGACAACGCTCTCTTGAAGAACTACAGACCGATTTCCCTTCTGAGCCGCGTCTACGTGCTGTTTTCGAGAGTCATTACGAATCTGCGATACATGCGAACATACGATCTGCGTTAGAAGACGTTCTCAAGCTACTGGACTGGAAAGGATACGGTATTAACATCAATGGCGAGTACATCACTCACCTTCGATTTGCCGACGATATAGTCCTTATGGCAGAATCGCTGGAGGACCTAAGCACTATGCTCAATGAACTCAATGGTGTCTCCCAACGGATA